TACTAATGAACAATGGGTTCATAGTCTTTATTTAAACAACAATGCAAATTATTAGAGTATTTATTTCTCTTGTATTGCCTGGAGGATTCTAGATTGGTTTCATGGCACCAAGTTAATTCTAGAATTTCAATTTTGTTATTTTGAAGTATGGCGGTATCGGGTCGTAAAGTGTTGAATAATTGAGATATTGGGCGAATACCCTCAGACTCTAAATCTGCAAATATGCGGCAATTGGCTGGAGCGGATATTTTCAGCCAATTGATGATCGCGGCCAATATCTTGTTGTGTTTTTCGGTATATCTTGCCAGAGCGGATGTAGAACCACAATTGGAAACTACGTGCTTATTTGTCTGTCGAGAATCACAAAGAGGGCATTGAGGGCTTTGCGTTTTACCACATCTAAACAAATTTGCATTAGTAGGCAACTGCTGGACTAAATACTTCTTAGCAAATTTGTAGAGGACTCCGGCAAGATTTTCCGTGGACTTTGACCAACGGGATATGTTGTTGGCTTTGATGAAATTTTTTATATTTAAAATTAGTGAACCTTGACTCTGCAGCGAGAATACATGATTTAAGCTAAATTCAATTCTTTTTTCTTCCAAATGACTAAGCGACGACTTTATTTGGCCGTATTTTAAGAGCGTATTATCTACTTTGATAAAATCGATCGCTGATTCTTTATAAAGACATTGAATCTCTTTGTTGCTATTAGTTTTAAAATAGTTCCGAAGTTTCAGTCTCATTTTTTCTGTCGCATCTTTTAATGAAATGATGCCATGACCTCCCATTGTTGTTGGCAGAGAAAGTAGTTCAGACACACAACCGCTGATTGGCATATCCATTCACTCCCTGACAGCGTTAACAATCAGATTATCTAGGTTCTCTGATATCCATGTCAGCGAAAAGTTGTAGCTGCGGAGTTCAAAGTTCAATTGAGACGGTATAAACTTTCTTAAAATTTGTAGTTGTAAATAACAATAATAGTAATAATAATAACAATAGTAGTAGTAGTAGTAATAATAATAATAATAATATTGAAACTACTGCTACTGCTACTAATACTGCTACTACTGCTACTACTACTACTACTACTACTACTACTACCACTATTACTGCTACTACTACTACTACTACTGCTACTACTCCTGCTACTACTACAACTACTACTACTACAACAACAACTACTACTACTACTACTACTACTACTACTGCTACTACTACTACTACTACTGCTAATACTGCTACTACTACTACTACTACTACTACTACTACTACTACTACTAATAATAATAATAATAATAATAATAATAATAATGATGATGATGATGATGATAATAATAATAATAATAATAATAATAATAATAATGGTAATAGTATATAAATAATAAAAAAAAATAAAATTACTACTACTACCAATAATAAATTAATTGTTTGCTTGTTGTCTGGTGTTTTGAGTTGATGCGGTTGTATTTTGATATTTTATATTCATTTATATAAATGGTTCTGGCGAAAATTAATGCTGCCATGTCTCTTACCACAAACGCTTAAACATCACCTTCCTCATAGTCGATGTAATTAATTTTTTATTAATTTGACCTTAAAGGTATCAACACCATACACACACACACACACACACACACACACACACACACACACACACACACACACACACACACACACACACACACACACAACATCGGCATCAGGATGAAGAGTCTTAACCATTACACCCAAGGTATCGATATAAATATATGCATAAATATTTCTAGATAAAAATTTTAATCAGAAATGTCGCTACTGGTTAAACATAAAACTCGTATAAAAAGTTATTTTGTCTATTCAACCATTGATAAGATAAAAAAACAATTAAGATAAAAATGCTAGTCCATTCATCCATCATATGCATACGAACAAAATGGAAATTGAGATAGACGATAAATGAAAAACTATCAAATAAACATCAATAAATCATGGCGAGTTTAAATCTTACAAAAATACTGCGGTCGTTGGCTCCAGAAATACATTTTTATTATTTTTCTTATAAAAAAGGTTGATAAGAAATTCCATAAAAAAATTTTAAGCACACAATTTAGGTATATTATTGTGACACAAAAATATTAAATAAGTTGAGATAACATACTAGAATTGCATCGGATTTTTATAGAATTTTTTTCAGTAGCTGGAATTTCTTTTTATTATTCAAAATTTTCGTTTTGTTATTGTTTGCAGATACTTTTGAAATTATTTTTCATCATTTTGCATGGAATGTCTGGACGTTCTGTTCACATTAACCGTTGTTCTTCGAACTGCAATTGCATTGTATCGGAATTGTTTGAGAAACTTTGAAAACTTCTCTGTGGAGTACATGTTGACAAGTTTGATCACAAACATTGAAATCAAGTAAGCATAAGTTATGAAGTCAGCAAAGTGAATGACTCATCCTAATTTATAGGATCGTGTTACAAAAGAACAATAGGAGTAAATTATTGTCTTCCCAATAGTCCTAATGTTCAGAATCACGTTTTCAAAATTAAAATTTGTCAACAATCTGATTCAAATTTTTATTTTTGTTAAATTCAATTTTGAGTTAAGAAGCTTTAAGAAGCGGTCTGCTTTTTAATTTACGAATTTTCAGTTATAAAAAAAACTTTTTACATTTAAATAGTATCTTCTATATTATCTTAATTTTCTTTAACAAATCTCGTCTAACGTCATAATTATAAAAGTTGACAACGACAACAAACATTATCAATCAACTTCGGGTGATATAAATGATAAAAGAAGAGATGAGACTAACAATTTTGACGTTGTTGCTTGGAAGGTCAACGAAAGTCACGGTCGTCTCCTGGCCATCTATCTCCACAGATACTGTCTTCTCATACTCTTTATCTGGTCGGTATTGAAATTTTGATTTGTTTGTTTAGTTGGGATGAATTTGTTTGTCGTTTGTTTATTATTGAAAGGTTTGTTTGTTATCTGCAATATTTTGGGAAAATGTTAGTTGAAATGTTATCAATTAATAAATATTTCTGAGTCAATTAATTTGAAGTAATTTGACACGGCATGACTTTATATCCATTTAAAAAAAACTTATCATAAAAATAAAAAAAAATAAAAATTTTCAGAACAGTGATACTGACAGAATATTCAATAAAAAAAAGCAAAACGTAAAGAAAAATATAGAAAGAAAGAAAATTCGTTTTGCGCCTGAATGCCTGAAAATGTTCGCTACAAGCAGTTGATGATGAAAAATCAATGTTCATTGTCTCAGTTGAAAGCAACGAATGAACGGCTTTTATAACTACAGGAAAGGAAAGAATAAATAAATAAATTGTTTCGTCAGCCCAGGTCAACGATTTGTATCCATTGTATTCTATTGTGTTTGTATTCACTGAGTGGCGGTTCTATTGACTGTTTTGTATCTTCTTTTGTGTATCCTTTTGTCGCGCTGCATTGTGATCATTACGCACATACGCATTCTGTAATGTCAGTTTTTGTTTTGCTCTTTACCCCTATGTATGTTGTTGTTGGCTTTGCGTTGTAGTGATATGTGTTGTAAAAGTTGAATGATGTTTTAAAAAGTTGAGATACCGAGTTGTTTTTTATTGATTTTCATTGCATTTCGTTGCTCAATCGAGTTGTCTTTTCTGAATTATATCACAAAACTCTGCTTTTTTGGAATTATTTTTTTATTTCTAACTTGTAAATCATTGCTCTATTTCATGTATGCTCAGGTTTGTGGAGAGATGATATCTGCTTCATGCCGGATTGAGTTCTGTGTGTGAAATTATGTGTATGTGTACTCACCTTGTATGCATATTGCATGTCTGCTGTATGCTAATTGTATGCAACTTGTATTCATGGTGTATGCATATTGCAAATTGAAGGAGTAAGATTTTAGAAAAGCTAAAATATATGCACATAAAAATTGGTGGGTGAAAATTTTATTGTGGCAACCTTTTCATTTTTGGATAAAAAAGCAATATTTAATTATTGCTTGAATTCTTAATTTAAATGCTCATCAATTGAGTAGGTATGGTAAACATTAAAAGCATGTATTATAAAGTTTATTAAACCCCCACGAGCAACTATCATAATACAAACTACGTTATTAATGTGAAATTAAATTTGTAAATAAAAATATTTTGACATTTTTATTTATCCAATTTCTTTTATATTCACAATTTCAGTCCTTGATGGATTGGACGCATGCGAGCATGGTGCGGACCTGCTATCCTCTTCCTCTCTATGATGTATCGCATCCATTTTTAACTGTAATGCTTCTTTAATGCAGTCATTATAGTTAGTTGATGATGGAATAGAAGATGAAGAAGATGAGGATGACACAACCTCTTCATAGTTTTGATTGAGAATACTTAAAAACTTACGCACACACAAACACAGCAGCATACACAAACACAACAAACACATACACAAATACACACGGATGTACGCACACAAACCCGCAAGCACACACATACACGCTCACATACACACATACATATATATATATACACGTTCGTTTATAAGTCTATTAGCTTATGTTGTATGCATGACGGTTGCAAGACTGATTACTAAAAGTTAATCATCACCGATGAAATATTAGAGGAGTGATTATTTGGAATGGGGAGGAAAGAAGCCATCCAACGGACGAGCAGATTTTCAGTCTGTAATGATTCGCTTATGCTTTCGTGGCTGGTTGTTGTTGCTGCTGCTGATGTTATTGTTGTTCTTACTGTTGCTGATGTTGTTGCTCTTTCTGTTACTGATGTTGTTACTGTTGCATACGCTGTTTCGGTTTCAGTTGTCGTTGTAGTTTTGTATCATTGTTGCTGTTGTCGTTGTTATTACTTGATGATAGATTTGATTGATATAGATCTGTATGCTTACAATTAAATCAAATTTATATCAAAATATGAATAATGACAATTATTTTTTGCGGTTAAAAATTTAAATTCTCAACTTAGACATCTAATACGTAACATTAATAATTTAAATTGTAATTAATTAACACTAAAATATCGGTGAATTTCATAACAAACTATATATATATATTTATATTTATATATACATATATGTGTATATATATATATATATATATATATATATATATGTGTGTGTGTGTGTGTGTGTGTGTGTGTGTGTGTGTGTGTGGTGTTCGTTTGTGTGTGTGGTGTTTTCGTGTAAGTATGGCGAAGGTTTTAAATGAACGAAAGTTGAGAAGTGCTTTGAAAGACATTGCGCAGTGTTAATGATGAAAGGATGGAAAGATAACTGAGTCTGATGAAACATCTTAGAAGATGAAAGAACCAGAAGATGTTTGCATGTTTGCAGGGGAGTTTGCACGAAATCATCAGAAAACATTTCAACTTTCCAACTGAAACAGACAGAGACGATGCACAAGCAATCACAGCTGAGTGTGAAACAACATGCATCTTATTAATCTCAGTTGATCTCATTAATTATAATAAATAACCCAATTCCCAGTACGATTAACTTATTAACTGCATGAACTATAAAGAATCAATAAACTCATCGATGTAGATTTTAAAAAGTAATCTATTGAATAAAACTATTCAACGCTTAATTATAAGGTGATATAATAATTACATAATTAAAAATAAAAAAAAATCCATAAGAACGACAATAAAAATAATTTCTTCAGAAATTATCGATGTTACATCCAGGTCCCTAGTGTGGACATTGCAATCGGAAATTATTTTATTTCTCTGAAGAGCATAAAAATTTTGAAACGACCTTTTCATTAAATGTTGGGTTGAACGAACTGACGTTTCGTTTTAGTGCTTCATATATTGATAGATGTGCTCTCTTGCTTTTTTTTCTTACGGGTGCAATGATTTGGAAGAAGCATGAATGAGGTAATGAAGCTATCATCATTAACTTAACGAGGCAGCAACAACGAACGTAACATTCAGTGTGGTGAAAACATGCAGCGGAATCAAATAAGTGAAATATTGTTAACTGTAGATGGATTGAAAAACATCGTGAATGAATGTGTTGTGTTGTGTTGCAATGTGATGATTGATTTTACACCAGCGATGTCGATTAACTATTTCAGTCTCAATCAACATTCAACATCATTCCAAGGATAATAATATTTATTATTTAACAATAAAACAAGTCTAGATAAATAAAAACTTACAAAATTTGTAGAAAATAATTTTATATATTTATTTTAATACAAACGATTAAGCTGCGATTAATTTCTCCAGCACCTCACCAAGACTGAACGAACGTGCAAAAATACTTTAATGTGATTGTCGCAATCAATCCTTCCCGATTGCACTTTTGAAGTTACTGTGCTTCATTATTCAGACGACTTACTACTCTGGTCAAATCGCTAATCATGTGTACTGCCTTCCATGTGCTTGCTTGCTTGTTGTTTGTTGTTTGATGTATCATTTAATCTCCGTATTGTTTTCTCTGAGGTTCGTTTTTTGGTTGGAAAACTTTTTACAATGTTGCACAACTCATCCTCAGATTGCTCCATCGCCATCTGCATCTGCATGCGTTCATTCAAACCATATGTAACTCCTTTATTATAGGTTCATTTGAATGTTTGGCAGCGCAGGTGTGCATGGGAGATGCTGCTTGTTCACATGCATCTTGGAGGATTACTTTGCAGAAACTATATAAATGTTCTCGTGTTGGTTGATAATAATGAAAAGTGTAACTGTCAAATATTTTCCGAGTAGCTTTCCACTGATCAATCAATATATCGATCGGAGTCTGCTAAACTTTCCATCGCCATGAAGTGCTCTGCTTCTATCTATCTCTCAAGTTGATGTGTAATCATTGAGCTCAGATGAAATGTTAACTACACTCTATCGAATTGTGCGTCTAATGTCGCTCTGCCACTTTGTCTTTAAAAAAATTAGTATGTGACAATTTATTATTGTTTTTCAATTTAATTGAGTAATTATATGTAGGGAAGGATGGCTGAAAAATCTTATTTAGAAAATGTAAATTAGATGAAGGTAGCCTCCATTCTTTGGTGGGAGATTCTCTGGAAGCCTCAATCAAAGTCGTTGTGAAAAATTTAACGCATGTAAATAAAATAATTAATGAAAAACAGACAATCGAAAGAATAAATAAATTTTTGAAAAAATTTATTTAGTAAATTATTTAACGTGTATTGGCTGGCCAAAAAACTACACAAACTATTAACTGTTTAAATTTTTTTATTTGTTGGCGTGTTTTGGATGAATTAGTTGCTGGTTATTAAACGTTTTGACAAACAGGTACAACTTGTAATTGAAATCATGTTTTTTATTAGTAGCTTACCTGGTTCTAACACTCCTTTTAAAATTCGAAAATCTTATTTCTCTTTTGTAACACAGACAGTTTGATTTCAATAGCGTGAAAAAGTGTTTTGTAAACAAAAATGCAATTTTCACATCTGCGTAAAAAAGAACTGAAAAAAATTCAACTTTTGTCAAATTTTGATTAATTCAAACGACTGATAAATAAGCAACGAGCACCATTTAACTATGCTATTTTTGATAATAACTTGCAAATGATGTGAAAAGTGACTGAAACCAACACTAACATTCATCAGAAAGAATATGATATTCATCATTGTCTTTGCTCTCTACATTCCTTTATATTACGCAATTTCATATATAACATAATACAATGCAAACGTACACACCACACACACACACACACACAACACACACAAAAAACCTGATAAGTCGTTGAAACATTTATAACTTTATATTTATCGATGGATGAACAGATTTGGAAACAAAAACTGTGATGATTATATGTAAAGTGGAAGTTGTTGATGATGATGGTGATGATGATGTGGAGGTTAATGATGGACTATTAATTATGATGATTACCGTGATGACGTGAATGTTGATGAT